TATCCAGGCTAGCTTTAGAAGTGGAGTTCTCTCGTTGTCGTCTTTATTCGGTTCCGAAATTCCCTTCTGGTCAATTTTTTTGTTTTATATTCTAAATCAGGACAGTAAACAACCACAAAAGGGGCAGTTGGGGCCTAGGAAAGGCGACGCTGCAATCGATGCACCCAAACAGCACGCTCTCTGCGACGGGCCCACTCACAAATTATTTTTTTTTATTTTTTGCAGCCGCTGCTGCAGCATTACGTCCTTTACGACTAATCCCAGGCCGCCAGCACCGTGTGCACACTTCCTTCTTCTTTGAGAAAAAATCGCTCAGCCTTTTCTTGGTTTCTTTCAGTGACTCCACACCGATCCACGCCGAAATCCCGCAATCATGGGTCGAATGCACGCCCCTGGGTACGTATCTGAGCTGGGAAAGAGTGTCGGACATTGAGTCAGCTTCTAATCACCCCCTTTTCTTCCACTGCCATCGCAACCACCAAAACATCACCACCATCATCACCATCAACACAAACACACAACAGCAAAGGCATCTCCAAGAGTGCTCTTCCTTACCGACGATCTGTTCCAACGGTAAGTTGTTTCCGATTCTATTTTGTGCTTTCATAAGGAAGGTTTCTAATTAATCTCTCCCCATCACCAGTGGCTGAAGCTGACCACTGACGATGTGGTGGATCACATTGCGAAGCTGGCGAAGAAGGGCATGCGACCCTCGCAGATCGGTGTCATGCTTCGAGACTGGTACGGCGTCGCCCAGGTCCGCTGGGTCACCGGCAACAAGATTCTGCGCATTCTGAAGAAGCGCGGCCTGGCCCCCGCCCTGCCCGAGGACCTCTACTACCTGATCAAGAAGGCGGTGGCCATTCGCAAGCACCTGGAGCGCAACCGCAAGGACAAGGACGCCAAGTTCCGCCTGATTCTCGTGGAGAGCCGCATCCACCGGCTGGCGCGCTACTACAAGACCAAGAGCGTCCTGGCGCCCAACTGGCGCTACGAGTCCTCCACCGCCTCGGCCCTGGTTGCGTAGAGACAACAACAAAGAACAACAACAATAATAACATCAAACACACATACCATCTCAACATGTGAATAAAGATACCACAGTGTTTTGAAATCCGCCTTTTCAAGCGTGTCACTTTATTTTCTCTTTTCCTAATAACTGAGGAAGGAAGCTCACTTGTTCTTTTTGCTGCTGCCACTTTGAGATTTGCCATTGCCTTGTGTCACCGGAGACTGTTTGCTGGGGCCCATTGTTGCATTTGGCATTGTGGCCTTATTTTCCGGCCTCGTTCGGTAGAGAATCTGAATAAAGTTGCGCAGGACAAAGCGCCAGAGCGTCCAGAGCACCAGGNTTCTCTTTTCCTAATAACTGAGGAAGGAAGCTCACTTGTTCTTTTTGCTGCTGCCACTTTGAGATTTGCCATTGCCTTGTGTCACCGGAGACTGTTTGCTGGGGCCCATTGTTGCATTTGTCATTGTGGCCTTATTTTCCGGCCTCGTTCGGTAGAGAATCTGAATAAAGTTGCGCAGGACAAAGCGCCAGAGCGTCCAGAGCACCAGGAGGATGATTGCACCGACCCAGAAGAGGAAGATGTGCTTCGGCAGCGGCTTGGTGACCACCGCAAAGTCGAACTTGAGAATGATGAGCAGCTCGGTGATGATGATGCTGATCAGCACCCACGACTGGCGGCCAATCTTTTTGCACTCGCTGGGGAAAATTGAATAGGGAGTTTTTTAATTACTAAATCAAAGTCCACGACCACTACCACCACACTTACGGATCATCCAAGTACTGAAAGGTCTCGCGGAGGGCCACCGCACCGGAGAAGATGAAGAGAATGAGGCGAAGGAGGTTGAGCATGTGCGGCGGCTCCAGCCAGAGGACGTACTTCAGGTAGAAGGTGTTCAGCTCGGCGACCAAACTCTGAAGGTAAAAAGATAAAAGAAAGATGATAGATTTGGTGACATTTTAAAGCAACAATCACAATCTCCACTTACGGCAATGACGATGAGTATGGTGGCGAGCCAGCGGTCAAAGCTGGAGAAGGGCCGCCAGTCAAACTGCACCCAACTGTGGGGGCCAAACTGGGCGACGATGCGCTTCAGCTTGCCCCGGTAGGTGGGAATGTTCCAGAGGCCGCGCCAGTCGTACGGCTTCATCGAGAGGTACTTCAGCGAGTGCATGCCCAGGTAGATGCCCAGGCCGTTGCAGAGCAGGGCGTCCATGATCCACTGTAATGGGGAAAAGAAGAAGATATGAGGTAGGAGGTTTAGAAGATCACCATCCTCAAGCGAATGAAAGCTCTTTTTATTACATGGTCCCACCAGCACTCGCTAAAGTTGGGCAGCTGGTGTTCGAGCGTGTACTCCAGCAGCTCGAACATGATGCTGATGACGGTGCAGAGCCACCAGTCGCGGATGATCAGCGTCTTCAGCCACCAGCCGAAGAAGTGCGTCGGCACGAAGATGTCCAGTTTGTCCTG